CCCCCCCGGGGGGATCCTTCAATAATGTGCCAATTTCCTTCTCTGTGTACCCCCGATCAGGACTGAAAGGCTTTCAGCTGTCATCATGCCTCCCTCACCTATCAGACCCCTCGTACTAAAGTCATTCAGGGCCCGACTAACATTCCTGACCACCTTAGATAGGTTTCTTGCTGAACTACTAGTTTTGTAAATACCCAATGGCCGTTCACAGTTGAATTCGAGTCCACCGAATTCCTGACGTCATCAAAGTCCGCATGCTACGCAATTTTCGCCTTCTTCAAAATAAGGGCTCGATGCCTAGCTTGTTTGTTAAGTAGAATCAGCAGCTGAGAAGCAGGGGTAAGAGGGTGGAGGGGCAAAGGAAGTAACTTGTCTGCCAATGCGTCCGCCCCACGTTCTGATCCCCCCAAATCACTGGAACCTGAGAAATGCTGAGAGATCTAGGCCGACGGTGTGTAAAACATCCTCATTGTGATTCAAAATACAGACACCTACTCAGCCAGTGCTGATAATCGATCGAGCGGGAAAGGAGAACTGGCGAGTTTTAATGCACCGTCGACAAAGGATGGCCGAGGAGAAAACACATGAGAATTGCCAGCTGTGGCGGATACTCCCTAAAAACCTAATACACAAGTACATCTTAGATGAAACGTCTCCATTCGAAGGAGTCTGTAAAACTAAGGACAACGGATGGTTAATAATCACTTTCTCGACAGAGAATAGATCAAAAACCAATTCTTGGCACTAATGTAACGAAACTGACACTGCCAGAAAGGGCTATGCAAATACGGACGCAGGTTGGTCTCGGTAATCCTTTCTAGGGTCAAGGAGCTTACATAAAAGAGGTCAATTTCAGTGGCGGCCAGAAGTGCTTCCTCAATCAAGGACTTAAAGTTCACAGCAGGCGGATAGCAATCTGGGTGCGCAAAGGGAATACAGATATGGCTAGATTTATGGCAGGATTACTGATGATGGAATAAACTATCCCCTTGTCTTATTTGTACGACACGAAAATGCGCACACCAGGACTTTCATGTTTTGCAGTAGATTCGGTTTATGTTTTTTATCTGTTATTGCGGAAAACAAACAAATATCTGCCGTTCTAGAAAGAGGGGGAGCAAAAGTACCAGGTGGACTTCTTACAAGTTGCCAACTTACCTGAATGCTCGGATGATAAATTAGCCGGGCGTCTTCAGTTAAAGCCACGTACTTTTTCGTTTTCCACTCCTTGTTCAGCGGCTTGCATGTTCTTTTGTACAAAAAGCCCTAAAAGACAACATTTGGGTGATTTGGGAGAGGAAAGAAGCCAAGGACATCAGTACATACCAAACATTCCGGCGCATTAAATCTCCTACTGGTACATCAACTGACAATGGAAAAATTGGATTATTAGCTCGGTGCCGCACACCATATACCTTGACCATATACCTTGGCCATATAACTTGGGTGGCTATCCACCTCCGATTGCGGCCTCGGAACATCTCCCGAGGGTCACTCGCTGTACCCTGGCGCAGCTACGCAGTGGCTATTGCATGCTCCTTCGCC